GAGAGAGAGAGAGAGAAGCACTTGCTGACCAGACCAAACATAACACAGGACAAGCGTGCCAAACTGCAAAGTACGGACAGTGCGCCGGTCGAAACTGGAATGGGTGCACAAGTTGCAATTCAGGCTCTAGCGTGAGTACTTTCTTTGTTTAATCTAGGTCATATTTGTGGTGATTGATCTTGAAGATATGGAAAATCAAAAACTAACTAGTGGATTTCTTTTTTTTTCTTTTAGTGTAAATACCAAAATGACTACTATTCGCAATGCCTGTGAGAGGGAAAGCAAGCTTGGGTGCAGCTAGGGTTGGATTAGGGTTGGGGTTCGTGGGTGCAAGGGTCGCTAAGGACGGGTCGGGTAGTTGGTGATGGAGCACCGCGGAGGAAGAACTAAATCAATACACGACAAGGAGTGAGACGGAGAGAGAGAGAGGAGGCATCAAGTCAATGGATGATTCTTTTCAAACGCAAATATTCCTTCTTCTTATTTTTTTTTTCAAGTGAAAATAAAATAATACATGAGAATACTCCACCCTTGCATCTCACGAATGAATACTAGATTACTGGCGGCTTTTGGTCAATTCCCGCTTCCCACATCCGGTCCGGAAAAGGGACAAGAAGAAGATGATGATGGTGATGGATCCTCTCCGTGTCGCAGCCACTGATTTCCGGCGGGGAGAATGCGGGGATCTAATTAGTATGTACTAACCTAGGGAGTAGGTAGTTGGGCCCTGGGGGATCTGGAACACTTTTGTTGTGTCTCCGCACACACACACGCACGCAATTGATCGACAAGCCGCATCTCTGGGGTCCGGGGTCTCCAGTAAGATTCCGTGTGTAGTAATACGCCGGTGGCTCGATGGATTCCCCCGCCCCTCATTCTGTCGTGATCCCTCACCAATCTCACCATCTATCTCATCTCCTCCTCTGCTCGTCTTGGTTCTGGGAAAAGGGGAACCCAAGAAGAGAGTATACATACTGCCATCAGGCTGAATATAGAGTTGAGGCCGGTTTGTCTGTCTCGTCTCTGTTGGCATACAATCTGCATCAAAAAAAACAGAGTGTTTCATTTGGTTTACACTGCTTGCCCAGGTTTTGTGAGACCAAAAGTGTCACTTAGCACCATGGACGGAGCAGAGGTTGCGAAACATAACACAAGCAAGTCGTGTTATATCGTGCTCCGGGGAAACGTGTACGATGTAACTTCTTACCTTGAAGAACACCCCGGCGGCGCTGCCATTCTCCTAACCAACGCCGGCCAGGTATGTTGTATGTTTATATTGAACATAGTGAACAATGACGATGACGCTGGTGATAAAACGTCGTCGTCGTCGTCGTCGTGGAGATTGACCTACCTAGATATATACCTACCCGTCGTCGTCTTCTTCTTCTTCTTCTTCTTCTTCTTTTTGAAACTTTGCTACTCGTGTTTCCAACCTACCAAGGCTGATAATCAAAACTGTCTTACAGGATGCTACTGCAGAATTCAGCAAGATTCACTCACCTGATGTTCTCGAATTCTTGCCCGAGGGCAGCAACCTCGGCCCCGTCGACACGGCAACGCTGGCAGCACTGACGCCGGCGCCGCGTGTATCTGCTGCAATCGATGCGCTAGTGCAAGAGGGAGAAGTGCCTCATCTGGCCACGTGCGTAGACACACACGACTTTGAGCGCGCCGCAAGATTGACCATGCCCGCGCCCACTTGGTCCTACGTCTCATCCTTTGCCAACGGCGGGCACTCCATGCAGGGCAACCTGGACTCGTGGAATACCATCACATTCCGTCCCCGAGTGCTTCGCGACATTACCAAAGTCTCGACCGAGACGTCCATCCTTGGCCAGGCTTCCTCACTTCCCTTTTACATTTCTCCAATGGGCCTTCTCGGCCGATCCCACGAGCATGCCGAACTTGCCCTCGTGCGGGGACTGGTCCGCAGCGGTGCCCATGCTGTCATCAGCACTGTGTCCACAAGACCCATGGAAGACATTGCCACCACCTTACGAGACTGCGTGGTCCAAGAGGCCGGTGGCCCATTACCACAGCTCCACTTCCAGCTCTACACGAGACCAGAGCAAGAGCCTACTCTAAACTACATCCGCAGAGCCAAGGCGGCCGGGTACAAGTCACTCTGGGTGACTGTTGACACGCCCCTCCTCGGGAAACGAACCATAGACCGCCGGCATATGGCTCAGGCAGCGCTCGCTATCGGTTCCGAGCAGCAGGCATCCAATCTCAGTCTTGGTATCCAGAGCTTCACCACGCAAGCCCAGAACGGCGCCCTCAAGTGGGAAGATTTGAAGTGGATCAAGGAGGCGTGGGGAGGACCGCTGGTTCTCAAGGGCATCCAGACCGCCGAAGATGCCAAGCTGGCCGTGGACTGTGGGTGTGAAGGCATCCTGCTGTCCAACCACGGCGGCAGGCAACTTCACTCGGCCCCCTCGGCCCTATCGACTCTAGTGGAGATTCGCCTTCACTGCCCCGAGGTATTCGACAAGCTACAAGTCTTTGTGGACGGAGGTCTTCGTGACGGAGCCGACGTTCTCAAGGCTCTCTGTCTGGGTGCCAAGGCCGTCGGTGTTGGCCGTCCATTCAGTTATGCACTGAGCGCCTACGGTACTGCTGGCGTAGAACGATGTGTCGATAGTAAGTTTTTTTCCCCTTCTTTCCCTTACCCATGAACTCCGTGGTGGGTGGAATCTGATCTGACTCTAATTTGAAACTCTTTGGTTTTGTTGCCATCTTTTTGTGCTGACTTGTGGTGTGACAGTTTTGGCCGAAGAATTACGCACAGCCATGGCCTTGGTTGGGATAACGTCTCTGGACCAGGTCCATCCAGATCTGGTTAATGCCTCTCGTCTCCTCAATGAAGCTTGGCGGCCATGGGGAAATCAGACAATAAAGAGTCGTCTGTGATGGAGTCATTGACACCAAATCGTCAGCAGCTGAACTACTAACATGCAATGTCAGTTGTCATCATCTGAGGTCCTAGTCTATATGTTTGGAATATCACAATTGGCACCTTGCCTTGGTCTCTTGGAAAGCTCCTGCTGCGGCATAGTCTGCTATTTATTCGCCGGATTCGGTTCAAAGGGTTGCTGTCCCACACTTGCCAGTTCACCAATGCGTTTGAGAAGCTTGAGGATCCAGCAAGAATCCCCAGCTCCGAATATATATCCGAGTAATCTCTGCAACATTGCTCAAGAGTTTTATTTCAACCCGCACGTACTAATTGTTCGGAATGCGCATCGCTCATAATTCCTCTTAGTTTGACTGCCCTTCACGAGCATTAGAAGACATTATACACTTGCAAAAGCTAGTCATCCTGTCCAGGGAGCATCATCTATGACTGACCACGAACCTGGGTGGTGTCCATCTGGGCGTTGCGTGCCATCGTATCCTTGAGACGGTCTATATGAAAATTCAGCCTTCACTAGTTGTGTACTCATGGGAGATCGATAAGCAGTTTCGACATGATTAGGAAAAATGTACATGGGTTAGAAGATATCACGTCCCCTTCATCGTTGTGGTATTTCCTCGGATCTTGTGCACTCAAGGACTCTATCAGATCCCATTCCCGAAGAGGCATCAAGGTAAGACATCAACGAGGCAAGGAACTGCAGTCATTTTATTTCATAATCAATTTGAACGAACAGTGTTAACATATCTACTCCTCCCTGGGTAGCCAACCCATAGTATTTTAGTGTCTGTAAGAAGTAATAGCATTATTCCAACTCCTTCCACTTGTATAATGCTCAAAAATCGATCATTGATGGTTGGACATGCAAGGAGTAGATACGTTTGGGTCATTTCGAATCGAACACATAGCTAGGCATTCTCCATCACCTTGACTGACCACTGGAGAAAGGGAGAAAAGAAGAAGAGTCAAGCCCGTTTCCTTTCGTCCCATTTCGTTCCTTTCATGCAATCTCGTTCCTGCCCTGGCAAAATCGTGCACACCCACTGCTAATCAAGACTAAAGCAAGCAGTGATATCTCGTCTTCGGTGTGTGCACACTTTTCTTTCTACTTTTCTGTTGTATCTGGGAACACATTCCATTACTTCCTTAGCCACGACATCACCTTTCTATTCTTCCTCCTATGGTAACACCTTCACTCGTGGATAACAAAAAAGTGACCCCCAAGACCAGTCACTCTTCCCTTTGATCTCCAGCTCTGAGTCACGCTTCCGCATCGTCCATCTACACCACCCTCAATTTCATACACATCATCGGTCGTGAGCGTGGACAAACTGGCAACTGCCTTTGTTCGTTCCGCTCTAGTGTCTTTTGCAGGTTGAGCAAGTTCGGCGGGCTCGTTCGTCCATCAGCGCCACCAAGTCATTTCCACGGTATCTCTCCCCCACTTCTTGCAAAGTTCATGCCTGCCTTCAACCGAGAACTACTGCCATTCTTCGCTCGTCCTACTTGACCTATCTAGTCATCACCACTTCGACTATTGGGTGACAAAGGACATGGCTCCTCACTTCAGCATGTCTCCTGCCGAGCAGAAGACGGGAATTGGCCACTGTGCCGAAAGTCGACGACTCATTACGCATGGCGACTGTCTTCTCGTCCAAGAAGATGCAGGAGCCAGCACCAGGGCTTATATCGAGAGTTCTGGCAAGTACTTGGCAAGCCTCGTTGGCCAAGCCCTGAACAATCGATCCGTCCAGGAGCGCAAAGACTACATCAGCAACCATCGTGTCATGACCCAGTTTGAGCTTCACATTGTACGTGGCGCCGTGGCCGAGCTTCGCAGATCCATCCTAGCGCAGTACAAAGTCTCTGGTCCTACTGCTGCTTCCTGTTCGGCCATCAATTCGCTCAAGGAGGACCTTGAGCGATGCAAAGCTCTGGGTACGATGGAGGCAAACCTCATGGCCAAGCTGCAATGGGTCGACAGTGTCGAGTGCCGCGTTTACAATTCCGACTGTCAGCATTCTTCTTCTTCTTCTTGCCACGACAACGGTGGCAATGGGCCTACCACTACCACTACCTTGAGCCAGCGACAGAACATTCCCGTCTCGAGACGTGACCTTGACCGAGATGGAGGTCTCAATAACCCATCTGTACTTCTACCCTTGTCGCTACAGTCCGTCAATCGTCGTGATGGCAATCAACCCAAGTTGCGCGATCCCTCCATGGGCGCCGCTAACAATACCGACGTCAACAATGTCTCGTCCGTGGTCGACTCTTTGTATGAGACGGGATTCCGTGTAGACCAGTGCGACGACGAGGCAATCTTGGCCCAATGGCAACAGGCTTTTGTCGAGAATCCAACCCAGTCCCGTTTCCCAGAATTCCTGCAGAGTGTTCCCCGAGCAGTTCCCAGTCGACAATTGACCCACCATGTCAACAAGGTCTTTCATGGCTCTGCTACAGTTTTTGAGTCTACGCCCATCTCTCGTGCCTCGACACAAGACGCCATTCGTGGAATCCCAACTCTGGGTAGTCTATCGGGCGTTCCAGAGCTCCGAGAAAATGCCGCCATCAAAGAGGGGGTCTTGGTCGACGTTAGCGAGAGCCCGGCCGAGCTTTATACTCCCGAATGCACTCCGAAGCATACAGGCTGCTCGACGGATGACAAGGACCCTCTGCTGATTGACCTGACTGACTCTCAGGAGGTTCTTCGACCCAGTGATGAACTCGCCATCCGCCAGACCGACTCCTTGGACGTTCTATTTGACCTAGTTACGCTTATTCCTCGCAATGGGGAGCTCGATAATTCAGGCTGCGCCAATGGGACCTCTCGCAATCTCATCGATCTGGATGGCAATAGTACCTTTGTGTCGGGTTCCCAGACCATCTCCCAGAGAACCTCTGGCAACGCTGACAACGAGAAAGATACTCCGAACAGCTGCTACCTTACCCCGATTTCAAAGTTTGCGTGGCACCCACAAACTCATTGCCAGGACACTTCTGAAGATGAGAATTTTTCTCATTCTGGACAATTGCTCAGTGTGACCAACATCCAAGAAACTCCTCAACACGGTTTTGCATTGGCACATCACGCCCTGCAGGAAAAAAGTAATTTAGTCGCATCGCCCCTGCGACCCCAGCATCTTACCGTGGGTAACGTGCTGGGTGAGAATCTTGGCGTCGGTGGTCAAAGCAAGACAAATGGACTACAGTACGTCACGGCGGCCGCCAGAGCAAGAAACAACAGCATAAAATCTGGCTCCGAGTCCTCTCCTCTGGGCTGTCAAGCTGTCATCCTCTCTGGCCTACCATGCCAGGCTAAGCTACAAGACGTGATGCCTCGAGTTCGAGGAGGCAAGATTGTTCAGGCTACCATGGCTGATACATCGGCGCTCCAAGTTGGCCGCTCTGCCTACGTGGTATTTGCAAACTCGACAGATGCAAGCGCCTACGTTGATTTTGCCAAGGAGAACCCCGGTTATGTCACAGTGCTTGGTCAGCAGGTCTATGTCCATCTTGCTGGCACCTTGACCTATCCGCGCCACGGCATGCGCCAACCGTGGGGCGACGAAACGAGACATGTCAGCTTGGGGGGGCGGGTCTCTCGAGACCTCTGTAGCAGACTGTTCAGGCAGATCGAGTCCATGTTCCGTCACGCAGAGGATGCATTGGAGGATGTGTGGTATGATGCAACCGGCTCATGTTTGATGCTTTTCAAAAACATCGATTATGCTATCCGTTTTCACTCGTTCGTTCGTAATTACCCCAGCTATAAACACGTGGCAGAGGAGATATATTTTGTCGACGATCCCTGCTCTGGTCCTTTGGCTGACCTGGCCTCCCCGGCTTGCTTCGCTCGAGGGGCAAACCAGAGCTTATTGCACGACTGGCTGAAGTACAAGTATGGTATTGTTGAACTCTCCGAACAGGGCACAGATCAGCTTGATGTTACTCCTCACGAGCCGGCACAGCAGGAAGACACCCTTTCTCCTCACCGGCCTCAAGGCATTCTTATTGACTTGTCGGACGAGGATACATTGCCGGCAGCTGTGCAAGTCTCTGCTCCCTCGAGCAACCTCGAGACCTTGTCATCAAACCTCGGTTCTGATGCCGCCGATTATCAGGCTCCTCATTGCAGCGTGATGGGGTCGGAGCCACTTGATCGTGAGCCTCTGCCTAGTAAGACCCAAGACGCCACATTGCGTGAGTCCAAGCCTGCCGTTTGCCGCATTTTCACCATGGAGGAGTTCCTCAAGGAATATGCATACGAGGAGCACCTGAGAGACCCCGTTCAGTGGCGCAAGGACTTTTTGTATTTGGGCCACATGAAGAAACACACGCCCGAATGAAGAGCAAGAGAGATTGCGGATAGGCCTCAAAGTCATTTCTTCCAAAGACGATGATTTCACACTGGCTCTAATCAATCGAGGTGGATGTTGGCGTCCTCGTGTACGCAAATCAGACGCGAGCCGCTTCATACCCTAGGACAGCCACAAAGGCCTCAATAGAGGACTTAAACCGCTCAGACTCTAGAGACAGGGGGATAGGGACAGGAGAGAGATTGTGAGAGGAACAGGATAGAGATTGTGAACACAATGATCAAGACTGGCTTTCACTCGACGAAGTACATCTACACGATGGAATCGGTTGAAGTCTCCAATGAACTCATTCACCGTGGAGACGTTCACGGCCCGATTGTTTCCATTTCATGTTTTCCAGCCCATCGAGCCTGTTTCCTTGTTTTCATTCCCCAGGTGGAATCGCAATGGTTATTCAGTAGCGTAGATATTCAATCATCGTGGCCGAAACAAGCTCTGTAACATGGTATGCGTGAACGTGCTTGGATTGAAATTCCATTGATATGTCCCCGGCCACTCTGGCCATAACAAATGTTCTTTCATTCCAGGCGCATGCTAGCCAAGCAAAGGAAAAGAAACCATGGTCCATCCTAGTTCACTTGTACAATTTAATATATCATCACCATCAAAGAGAAGACGCAAGATGTCCTTTCTATTGTTATTATATTTGACGTAGTGGCTGCTAACTACTAGCAGTGGACGCGATATTGGCCTTTAATCGAAGCCTGTCCATGGGCATATTCAGAGGGTTGCTCCATTCCCCAGGTGTATCTAGATATGGAGCCCAAGCATGATTACTTTGATGCAGCTGCCGCATCTGTTGTCGGCTCTCTACTGCAGCGCCTTGCACAGTTAGCAGTCCTGGTTGTCCATGGTCCCAGTCCATCTGCGGCAGACGGCCTAAGAGAATGCTCCTGCCTACCTGCCATCGCCAGCGCTGAGCATGTCAAAGCGCATTTATCCATCTGGCCCCGGAGCGGAATGATCAATACTCGGAAGAAAGCTTGGCCGAGAAAGGGTCGGCTGCTGCCTCAACCCTCCTCGACCAGCAGCATCTCTTCCATGTCGGCGTCCTGGTTCTCGTCAGACGAGTAGTAATCCATATCTCCAGCTGCCTCTTCAAGGTCTCCCTCGAACGCATCAGCTACACTCGAATAGCGGCCAATGTCCATTTGGGCCTTTTTGCGGAGGAACTTCTTTACCATCTTGGCGGGTAAGTTTTCGGCAGGCTCCCAGGTCGGATTCTGGTCCGGTGGCCAGTTCCCTTCCCACCTCACCAGGTAATGGGGCTTCTCCTGGCCCTTGACCTTGAACATTCGTTGGTCTTCGATACATTCTATCACGTATTCGGGCTCCTCTGGTAGAGGCCGAGATTCCCCAGCTTCCTTCCCTTTCCGCTTTCCTTTTCCCTTCTTTCGTGGAGCTTTGGCTATACTGTGTGCAAGGACAGACGGCGAGGACGCCTCGGCCACACGGGGCGATTTCGAAGGCCACCTGCCAGAACTCCGAGCCGCAGGTGTGAAGCCTCCGATGGCCACGGATCTGGCTTTCCGCGGAGAACGAGTGGCTGGCGATGATTTGGAATGTACAGACCTAGAATTCCACGCAGCCACAGGATTGGCAGCATATACTTTATGGTGATGATGCTCGGCCGCATCGTACTCTTCCACGCCATCCTCAACATCTAGCGTATCAGTCGCTACCTTTTGTGATTTCTGTGGCGTGGAAAGCGAGGGGCCGGAGGCTGCAGAACCAACTGAAGGCAATAGAACCTCCAAGCCTGCCTGAGCCTTTTCAGCCTCTCTTCTCAGTATGTCAGCCTTGCTGGGACGGCCAGGCCTCTTGGCACTGGTCTTGTTGGGGTTGCTCGGCGTAGTACCCGCAGCCGCCGCCTCGTGTCGCAAAATCTCCTCTTCTCGAGCAATCTGCTTTGCCAATTCCAGTTCTTCTCGGAGCCGCTCAGCAGCAGCATCTCTCTCCAGCGATAGCTTGTACTCGAAGTCTTCAACGGTTCTCGGTGACACGTAGTCAAGAATCTTGTCGGCCTGGACAAGCACCGAGGCACCAGGCAAGTCGGTCCAATGGACAATGTAGTATAGCTGCACCTTTGTGGTTCCGGTCTGTGTCAGGCTGGACCAAGTTTCCTTACTCGAGATGCGTGCCGTCGAATCGTCCTCGGGGGTGATATGTAGCGGAGCCAACGCCGGGCCGAGGCCGCGGGTCATGACATGGCGAGAAGGTGGTCGGGACGGGAGCACAACCTCGATTGGGTACAGCCGGAGGGCGGCCGTTTGGACGCGACTTGAGACGTCGTTCATGTTGCGAAGGGCCTTTTCTTTTTCTCCTCCTCCTCGGAGGCGCGAGACTCGTAGGACAATCGCGTAGCAGCGGCTTCGGCTCAGTCGCGGCCGCGAATTGCGACTCGTGAATCGCGTCAATGCGCGGCGAGTTGGTCGGTGGAATCGGTGGTTTTGGTGGTGTTGACGGAGCCGCCGGCACAATACTGCTGCCACGACGCGCACGTCCAACGCGAACCTGTCACATTACCTTTTGACAACGCGATCGCACCCCAGGACTTTCTCTTCCCAGGGCTGTTTCTCCGTCACTCTGTCCGTCTGTCTGTCTGGTTCCAAGCTCCAGCACCGGCACTGAACGCGTCGAGCGCAAGTCAGCGAGGCCCTTGCCCTCGTGGCTGGTTGGAGGTTCAGACAGCAAGTTTATATACAAGTACTTAGGAAATTACCCTATCAGTATAGAGGTACCTTTTTTGGGCGGTGGGATTTTGCTCTTCTTGGTTGGATTGCGCTTAGCGGCCAGCTCCGGCGGGGGTGCTGCTCTCTCTGATCCTGCACTATGCCCCGGAAAGATTGGGTTTGTGATAACGCGATTCTAGTAATTCGCATTTGGATACCTTATATAATTTTTTTTTCTTGACAATATTCTACTTTGGGAATTTTTCCAAAAAATTTTAATTCCCAAAGCGGATTTTTTTTTATTTAATTCCCAAAGTGGATTTTTTTCTCCCCCCAACCTTTAGCACGTCATCATCCATTTTTGTATTATTTTTAATGGCAGCAATTAAATACCTGATATCTATGTATATACATATTTTTTTGTCATTGTCCGTTTCGGAATATCTCCATTTAATCTGCTCTGCAAGCTTGTGACTTTCCGTTGCTCGTCCTTGGGAGAGCTTCGAATAACTACTATATACCTACTTTCAACGCTCTGGCCCAGCTTATTGACAGATGTTCATCGCTGTTATCCCTTGATCTGGCGGGCACCACGGTTTTCCAATTGTCCCCCTGCAAGTGACTTGCTTCAGTGAACCAATCACACTATAATAAATCAGGGCTATACCTCAAAACCGTGACAATTGCACCAAAATAATACAAATTTTGTATCGATCGAATCTTTACGATTACGAGACTTATTATCTAAATTTTTATAATTCTCGATTGGTTTTTGATACCGTGGTATCTCGAGAACAAAATACTATTTTCTGGGAGTACGGTATATAATTGGTGAAAAAAAGCGGTTCCCCTCTGGTTTGGTGGCTTGGCTGTACCAAAACCTGCCTTATTTGGGAACCGTGGTGCCCGCCAGATCAAGGGATATCTTTGTCAATATCCTCCCTGGCCCTCGCCCATCCCCAAGTGTTTCAATACACCTGAGACCATTACACTCGGCTTGAATGAGTCTTTTGTAAAAACTGGAAGACACATTGACAAGTCAGTTCGTGTAAAAGGACTTACAGAATTGCCACCACGCGTATATATGAACCAGTTTGGTACATCATGGTACGATTCGTACTTCTTACTGTGGAAGGCGGCCCATGAATTCCTGTGCAACATGATAGAGCCTCACTTGCAACAATTACCACTGGATTACTCAACGTATACTAGGCGGCCAGTATTGGATTGAATTGGCAATAATTGCTCAGTGGTCGTGTTGTCGCAATGGAAGCTTTGCATATCTTTCAAGTCCCAGAATCCCTCATGTATCATGTAAGAATAGGTAGCTACTCTTGCTATTCTCTATCTTCTCGGTAGGTTGGGGTGCTACTTGAGCTGAGCGAAATTGTCCAAGGTTAAAGTAGTATACTCTCTTCCCAGGAAGAGTATAGGTATGTATGTAATGATTACTTGAACCGTGCAGTCCAGCTTACCTACCTAGGTTACCTAGGTAATGTTCATGTTGTGTTTTGTCTTAGCTCCCCAAACTCACCCTAGTACTCAGTGTTTGTACGTACTAAATGTGGCCCCGTTCTGGTGGTGACCTACATAGCGGGTCGATGGGCCGCTGGGGCTGGGGCTGGAAGACTGAAGCTCGGGTCGGGCGTCCCAAAGCTTCCAAAAGTTGGAGCTCTCCAGTAATTGAAATTTCCACAAGCCGGACGGAAACGCAACGACAATAACGCCGGCGACAACGACATCATAGTAAATAGCCAACACGACCTGGCACATTGCCTCCGGACAAGATCCGCCCGTCCGCTCCGTTTGTTCCCACCGATGCTAGCAGCATCTCGATCTTGAGACCGCTACACGACTGCTAGAAACTTGTTCCATCATTATCATTATCATGCTCGTCTCGACTACGCAGTTTGCGCGCTTCGGCGTGCTGGGCTCTCGCGGCCTGCAGCTGCAATCTACCCTCACCAAAGGACTGACCGCCACATCCCTCTTCTCACGCCAATTCGCCGTCAAGGCCCCCAGATCGATATGTACCGCTCCCGTGAGCCAGACCTTGAGGTCACGCCCCGCCGCCAGCCAATGCCAGTTTGCCGCCCGTCGACATGCCTCGTCGAGCGCAACGCGCGCATCCGCACCTGCTGCCTCTGCCTCATCCACTCCCGGCCTTGACTGGAACACTTTCTTCACATTGCGCAAGACGCGGAGGCGGTATCAGCTGGCCTGTAGCGTCGTTACCATGATGATTGGCGGAAGCATTGCCGGACTGGTACTCATCAACGTCGACGTCGACTTCCTGGGCAAGCTGCCTCTCGACCCTTTTATTACCCTGGGTCTCATCACCATGAGCTCGGCCGCACTTGGCTGGCTCGCTGGCCCGAGTCTGGGCTCTACCCTCTTCTACATGGTCAAGAGGGGGGTCAAGACACCCATGGCCCTCAAGGAGGTGGAATTCTTTGCTCGAGTTAAAAAGAACCGTGTGGACCCCAGCGTCAGCTCTGTCGGAAACCCCGGTACGTTGACTTCGTATCTGACTTGACCTTTTGAATAATGGCTGACTGTGAACGCTGCAGTTCCTGACTACTACGGTGAAAAGATCTCCAGTGTTGCTGGATACAGACAATGGCTCAAGGACCAGCGAGCCTTTAACAAGAAGCGAACGAGTTTCCTATAATGCGCGCCGCTCCCATCAAGGGAGACCAATGTGGCACGTATATATATATCATGTAGTATGACATGGTCAGTCAAGGTGAAGCACGACCTGACTCTGCTACTGCAAGGGCGCGTGCCATCATTCATCCAATGTTGTACAAAATAAGTCAATTCAGCAGACACGCTTTCCCATCGTAGGGTTCAAAGGAGTATCTGTGGACAAGAGCGGCGATATATATGCCGTGGGAGTCGATGTCTTGGGTTGTTCTATTTTTTTTTTCCTCGTCACGTTCTCGGTAAAACTCTCCCCTAGTCAAATGTATCAACAGTGGGAATCGTGTGCAACGGGCCACGTAAATTAAACTCCCCTTATTCGAGCCGACCTAACGTCGTACATGTTGGACCTACAGAGGTGCCGTAGTTTTGGGCCAGTCATGCTATGTAAATGGCAAGCTTGTATCTACTTCTTGTTTCCACGCGCGCATGCCTCCAGAAATGTCACCTATGAAGCGGACTCCGTGCCCATCCAAGCCCACATCTTTGAGCCTTTGCGTCACTAGTTGCGAATCATTGCCGACTCGGCACACAACGTAGATGGGCGCATCTGGGGGTAGAGATTCCGGTAACCAATCCGGCCGGGACTGCTCAGTGGACTGGGTCTTCTTCTGGAAAGTCGAAAAAGGGATATTGATTGCGCCATGAATGCTTGCAATGTCAAAGTGCTCTCGCTCACGCACATCCAGCAAGACGTGGGCCGGCCTCGGATTCTCTTTTGTAATCGCATTGTAAGCTGTCGCCGATATCCGTTCTTCCGGTGCTAATATCCTGACCGGGGCAGAGGTGCCACAGAAAGCCACATAATCCAGCGAGCCAGACTTGAGCGTGTCGAGAGATAGCTCGGAGAGAGGTGAGCAAGCGAAGCAGTTGGGTCTCCGACCGCGCATCTTCATCGACCGAAACGTGGTCGGCCCAGAAGCAGAAAACAGAAGAAGACTCGGCGTGTTAGGCTCTTGTTGTGACATGCCCACACCAGCTGCAATAATCTTGATTGCTTCGAGCGCCTGTAGCACACCCATGATACCAACAACGGGACCCAAGATGCCCCCTTCGCCACAGCTCACCACGCTCTCAGCTGGGGGCGGCTTTGGAAACACGCAACGGTAGCAGGGACCGCCTCCTGGCTGACCCTGTACTGCTGCTGGATTATTGAGGACAATCAACTGCCCGTCTGTCCGCAGTGCCGACGCTGATATCAGCGGCTTCTGCAGCAAGACGCAGATGTCCGAGACAAGGTAGCGAGAAGTTGGGTGATCTGTGCAGTCGAGGACAATGTCGTATTTTGATACGATTTCCTCGGCATTCTGGGGTTCCAGATGTATGCCGTGCCGGGTATAGGTGACCTCGGGGTTCAGTTCCCGACAGAAATCAGCCAGACTGTCGACTTTTTTCATGCCAACCTTGGCGCTGCTGTGGGCAATCTGACGATGTAGATTGGACTCCTCGACGGTATCTCCATCGACCAGCCCCAGTGTGCCGACACCTGCACCAGCCAGATATGCCGCAGCCGGACACCCCAGGCCTCCAGCCCCGATAATGAGCACCGCCGCCGACTTGAGACGGAGCTGGCCCTGAATACCGACGGAGGGGAGTATGAGCTGGCGGCCATAGCGAGCGTACTCTTCTTCCCGGAGTGGCCATTTCCATGTAGCCGGCGTGTTGTCGATCTCGGGATTCCCGGTGGTTTTGGAGACTGTCTGCAAGGCTTCAATCTCAACTAGCCTTGCACGCAGTGCAGCAAGCTCCTTCTCAGCTCCGTGAATCTGCTGCCTGAGCGCCACAGCCTCGGCGGCAACATCCATGATGCACAAGTCCAAAAGTCCTGACCTCACGTCTCCGGGCTCTCTTCTATTTCTTTTCCCCTCCCCCTTCCTTTCTTCTATCTATATCTTCTTGGACTGGCACTCAGACTAGGATGGAATTAAAGGGCAAATAAACAAGTCCAGTTCATAGCATCAATATTATGCATGTGATTTGTACGAAGAATTAAGTGCTTGTTTGGTTGAGCGATAGCGGCGCTATTCCGTCAGGTACCCAGTACCTACCTTATTACCTACTGCTCAATACGTACAAAGACAAACTCCCGCCTGCTGTCCCACTAAAATTTTGAGAGCTGCACCCAACGATCAATTAATTCCATCTGGAGAGAACAAACAGCTTGCTGTATTCTTTTTTTTTAGTACAACATATACACACCTACCTACCGAGGTTCGCACAAGAAATCAATCGTCCAATCTCCATTTCAAACTGCCTGGACTACCTACTTTTACGTCTTTGCGCAAAAACACGTTGCGCATTTAGTCCCTGGCCATGGTGAGAGCCCATTTATATTTTGCAATGATGTGTAGACTACAAAGATCATGCTCGTTCTGACTCTTCCATCTCTCAGGCTCCTACGATACCTACCAAACGCCGTTCCCTGCGCGCCAAGATAGCAGCAAAATCAGATGGCAGTGTCTATGCGCCGCGCAAGGTGCCTCGACATGATGCCGTCGATGTATCGGACTCGTTTCTCAACTCGAAAAAGGACAAGCGGCTGGTGAAGCACTCGTCGTTTGTCTCGCGCATCGAAAAGTCAAACCAAAAGTCGCTCAAACGCCGTCGACCAGGCAAGAAGCTTGTGACCGACCTCGACTCCCTCAAAAAGGCGCTGCCAGATCTTCTGGCTGAGGGCGAGACCGAGGAGAGCCTCCAGCAGCTCAAAGAGGGCAAGATTAGGCTGAAGAGCTTGAAGAGCAGGAAAGGCGCACTCAAAAAGAAAGAAAAGGTCGTCAAGGGCGAGGTTGAGCGCTTCCGAGGAAGCCTGGCCAGGCTCAATGCCGTCGGTGCCACACCTCAGGAGCAGCCTTCCGACAGCATCCAAGTAGTAGAAACTACTGGAGCGGACCTTCAGCAACAACAAGCTCAAAATGCCACGGCCAGCCGTTGGGCTGCACTGAGAGGGTTCATCTCGGCCACCATGGAGCAAAACCCGGCATTCATTGAGAAAAGACCAGATGCCAAGTGAGTTGTCAAGTGTTTCCACGAGCATTGACACCGCTCCCCAGTAAGTATTAGCATACATCACGTTTTCTTCTCCAAGCTATCTTGGATCGTGGCATCGATGGAGAGTATTGGGGGAGCTCAACACAACCCTCTTTACCTAGTCATCAAGGCCCATCCCCTACAGTGGTGGCAGCAGAATCCGGGAAGCTCTTGGTGTAACCTTTGCGCCAAATCTGCATTTTTGAGCTGGAAGCAGAGACCAGGTTACCAGGAACTAATTCTGCTGCTAGCAATCTATCACCCCAGCTCTGCAAAATTAAGCCGGCTCGGGCAAAGAGTCAATAAGCAGATCGCGGTCAGCCTATAAATTCCGAGGAGGAAACACGACGTGGGCTGAAGGCAGATGAATGAGTTTCAGACATGCTCAGATCAAATAAAATATCGCAGTATGCCTTTTGACTGATAGATGTGACGAGCAAAGCTGGGCAGACGAGAAGTGGCAGCAAAAGAATTAAAAAAAAAAAATCAAAAAAAAAAAATTCATTTGCCAAAGCGATAAATATTGAGCAAATACCTAGCAAAGACTTAGAAATGCGAGATAAAGGTTGTACTAAAATTGCATTATAGTTTAAATATCGAAAAACTTGCGATCATGTTATATAGCGTGGGTATTGAACACAAGGGATTTATTAAGTCAATAATTATATCATCCAATAGGAGCAAATGCGACTTGGGTTAAAAAGTCCTTTCTTTGGTATTTCGCTAACCGCAATCGCGCGTTTCACAGGCAGGCAAAGATCACAGTAGGATCCTAGAGTTTCCTCAGCCCTATGGGTAGTAAAGTCCCTGTCCGTTCGGCAAAGCCAACCGAAGCCAAGGTGCTGGATGTTGACCACAGCGAAGCAAAGTCTCAAACTGGTATACGGTCAGCCAGTGATCAATCGCCAGGCGTTGTGGCGAAAAGTAAGGCATCCGCAGATAAGTACACTGTAGCATACCGATAAAGTGTACGTGAACACACTTCGGATCTATCTGATCTGGCAACCCACGCATGTCGCACAGTACGTATTGATGATGCTCGATGTCTGCCCAGGTATGTTTTAGCACCTATCAAGTTAGGTATCCAATACCTTCTTGAAGATGGTCCCACAGTCGCGGGGCTCCTAGGCCTTAAGACTGGGCAGTGGACAAGCAGCTCAGCCTCGAACCTGTCGTCATTAAAGAGGCCGCTTTGATGTTCATGCGTAGGTGCCCTCCAAGCCACGATGCAAAACAGCAGCACTGTCCTTGGGAGGGTGCCGGACACAGGAAACTCGAGTAGTGGAATTGAACAACTCAGGTTTTTCTTTTCCTTTTTCTTGTCTTTTTTTTTTCACGAGAGTTTGTTTGTTTATTCACATGGATAACTACTAGGTAGGTAGTAACCAGGCCAGGTACTTCGATTGTTCCTTGCACGTATGGATATTGAACTTGTCGATTAATTGATTCCACCTTTTTTCCCCTCCCCCGCAATTTCTGGGCTGTCAACGGCACTTCCAAGTTTTTGGCAGGGACTTTTTCTCTTTTTTTTTTCCTCCCCCTCCCATTTCCTCCCTCCGATTTTACTCTTCTTCTTCCTCGCCTTTATACCCACTTTACTATTCGTGGCTCAGTGACTAGGTATGTAATTAACTTGCGTGTACATCTTCATCATAACCCAAAACCATTCGCAAACACCCCGGAGCGCAACCCAAAAGTAACCAACCACATAGACGAAAGATGATTGCAACGTCCCTTTCTACCTATTAATTGTTGGCGGGCTTCCTTCGTTGGTCCTTCTCTTCACAAAATTGTTACTGTGCCTTTTTTTCTCCCTCCTTACTGGTAAACAAACTTGAAAAGGAAACTTTTCTTTTCCCGGTCTTGTCTGTTTTCTGGCTGCCATTGGACACTGCTTACCCTCGTATCGTAGTGAGAGGGAGGAAAGGTTAAACAGGAGGGAAGAAAAGAGGAAAGAAGAAGGTTGTACCAGTTTTTGGGGTCACATATTGTCGTCCCGGAATTTTAACCCCCGTTGTCCCCGACTCAACACCAGATCAGGCACCAAACCCCACGCACGGCTTGGATCGCATTGCCTCACAATCGCCAATCCGTTGAGGTTTGGCCCGGCGCGAAAACTCGTCATCCAACTTCGAACCACGGACCACCGCACGCCGCACACGCTCGCAGACAGACACACATACATACAAACGTTGAGCACGACCCTTGGTGACGACAAGGTCAACGGTTACCCGCTCGGTATCGTCCTCGTTCCTTCCCGCCGAACCTAAGCTTCGCCGATCCTCGATTCTGTGCAAACCTTCTCCCCCGTCGAGTCGACCCTCCTTTCTCTCCCACAAACGCAAGCACCGACACACACAGGACCTGTCGCTCAGGCTCCGACTTCAGGTTGTCCTCCTCAGACAGCGAGACCTCGTCAGGTCGAACAAGTCCAATAACACAGCAAGCGCGAGCCGTGATACAGTCCCTATCTAGGCTTGTTGTTTTGTTTTGTGTTTCCCCACTGCTCGCATTCTTTGGGGAATCCTCATCGTCCTGGTTAGCAACCATGTCGAATCACCTCAGAACACACCGCCGGCCTCGGCATGCTAACATGCGCCGAAAGGGTCGCACCATGCCCTTCCGCGAGAAGTTCGCCCGTCGCTTTGGTGATAGTGTAGGAAACAATCATCGTTTGACCCGAGCCGCTCGATACTGATTTTGTTTGACAGCTTTCTCCACACCCTTCGCCGAACCAGCCATACTTGTCTTGTAAGCCCCGTCCAATTTCTCTACCGTCTCATCTCGTCTCCGCTCTCGTGTATACTTCTACACAATCTTTCGACTAAATGATTGACACTTTTCCAGATCATGATATTTGCCGTGAGCTCTCCGTTTCCCGGTCCAAAACGACAACGAGACAACAAAACCCGTGCTGACTGGCGAGGCAGTGACATATGAAGATGTCAAGTCACTTCGCAATGACTGGCTCACTGACAATGTCTGTTACTCCCCTTTGATCTTTGTGTGTTGTAACTCTTAGACTCGAGGTCTCTGACAATCTACAGAATATCGCTTTCTGGGAGGAGTTCCTCGAGCGTGAGGTGCTCACCAAATTTCCCCAGGCCAACATTGTGCTTCTCAGACCCTCCATGGCCTTTTTGCTCATGAAGGACAGAGATACAAACGCCGTACGGAAAGCAATCCCCTCGTTTGATGGAGTGACGCATATATTCCTACCCATCAATGACAACCGCAACGTTGCCATGGCCGAGGGCGGTTCGCACTGGTCTCTGCTCCTCGTGAGCGTCATCGACGGCGTCGCCTTTCACTACGATTCCCTCGAGGGCGCCAATAATGAGGAGGCGCTCATGTGCTTGCGGCGGCTGGAGCATGTTCTTCACAAGAAGCTGCGCTTTCACCACCTGTCAGAGTGCCCGCAACAGGACAACGGCAGCGACTGTGGCGTGTTCGTGTGCATCATCATGCGCCATCTTCTGGTCAAACGGCTACTCGCTGTTAATGCTGGCGAGAAAATATCCATGAGTATGGCCCACAAGGCCATTGATGCTGTTGGTGCTCGCAAGGAAATGATCAATATTGTCAACAGCTTGCGCAAGGAAGGCGAGAGAAGACGATCGTCGAGCCACAGCAACACCCCCCCACGTGTAGACTAAAGTTTCACAGCGCCCTGCTACTACTACTGCTGATAGCAGTAGTGCTTGCTCTTGCGATTCTCGTGAGATATCTCACCGTGTCTAGGTTTTCCCTGGAAGGCAGCATCTGGTGTTTGGCGTTGTGTGCTTATGCTGGCTGGCGTGTTTCACATCTATTCTGTTCTCGGTTGTCGTCTCAGCTCAGGAAGTGCTGCTCTTTCTGGTGGTCTGCGGTAGTGGCGTCCCTTTCAGGTTACGATTGTTGACGACACACTACTGGATAAAGTAATGTGTGTGGATAGGTATGGCAAAGGATCCCAGTGTTTTCTTCTCACACTTCGGAAGCTCTACTTCTTTTTTGACATTGGAAAGCTACAAGCAGTACCGGTAACATACATACCTACATACACAATGGATACCCGGGCCGAACTTCGGTCTCTTTACTGCATCACTCTTCATTCACTGCTGTGTAGCTATCCCATTATAAAATATGAACTGCCGCCGCCTACAGAGGTCAATCTTGCGCCCTGCGTCGCTATGTGTCTACCCTTGCCCCCCCTCCCCGCCCCCTCGCTTTTTCAAACATCCGACCAACCACCTTACAAGTCGATCTTGACGGCAACGACGTTTGACGAGATGAATCCCGTCACGTATAACCACGCTCGCCGCTTACCGCCTTCCTTGGCCGGATCTATGGCGATGAGGACGGCTGCACTTGCGCTTCGAAGCGTAGATCCGTCGTCTTCAAAGATGATGCGCTTCTCCCAAGCATCATCCACCTTCTTGACGTACCAGACAATGACAGGCTCCTTTGCTTGCGGGTCGGCATGGGTCTTGGCAAGATCAATGGCGCGGCTGAGTCCAGCCAGGACGTATCCACTGCCGTCAAAGGTGGCGCTGGCGTAGGGATCCTTGAAGTAGCTTGGGTTGTCGATGGTGGAATCAAGGAGGAGCTTGTCGACGATCTGAAAGCTGTGGTCGGCCTGGGCAGGAGATGGCTCGACAAAGTGAAGCGATCCGCCTGCTGCACTCGCTATCAACAACTCCGTGTCGGTACGGCCACGACCGAGACCGTTATTGTTGTGTATACCCTCGACTACCACGGACGTCTTGATGCCTTGGTCTGCCGAGGCTGCGAGGAGATCCGACAGGTCAACTTGAACGGTTTCGGTCCATGCGGCAAAGGGGTTGATATCCTCAACCTCTCGCATGAAGCCCTCCCGATAGTGATGATCATTGGTGACCAGGAATCTCTGCGGGCTAAGAGCAAGGATGTCGTTGGGGGTTCTAATGAGCGGATCTCGCACCGAGCGAATGTGGCGGGCCGTTGCCGACCCGATCTCATGGCGGAAAATCTCAATTTGTGAGCGCGTCTTGGCTGGCTGGCTGCTGCTGCTGGCAGTTGTCGTCGTCCTCGGCACGAACGACTCATCCCAGAAGTCGGGGTTGGGAAGATGATTGACGGCAAATATGTAGACGGCCTTTTTGGCCCCAGCTTTGGGGTCAGCTATAACATCAATTCCGTGAGTGACGAACGGTCCGTAGAAATTGTCCAGCTTCAACTTTCTAGCCTTCTTGGTCTATTTTGTCATATATTGTGTCAGTCAGTCAGTCAGTCCCACTTTTGAGTACACACGTGTGTAGGGAGGGGGGTAAGTAACTGGTCAAACTCACATCCGGGTCGATAACAACCAAGGTTCCTTGCGATTGCGACAGGACAGAGGCATTGAACTCGGCCAGCGGTGGAAACCACGAGAATCTCGTGACGGGCGAGTCTTCGCAGGCCATGTACAGCTCGTGGGATGGGGCATAGTAGTGAATATCCTCGCAGTGAATGGTCCCGTCAATCAACACCAGGTCCTCGGCGCTGGCCACGCTGACGGCGCTCGGTGATCTGTAGATGCCAAAGACGGTGATGGTCCGCTGCACCACTGGGTAGTAGGTATTGTAGAGGTACCCCAACGGTACGGCCAGGAGAGCGACGTAAATAGCGATCAAGGCTGGTGATTTCGCCATGATGGAATCGGGTACCAGAGTCTCAGTGACTTGCTCGCTCCTTGATAGGATATTATGATGATATCCGCCGTCGATATGTATAAAGGTGCAGTGTGAGGAATTGGCAGAGAAGATGAGTTTGCAAGCACAATTATCTGGGTTTCTTTGGGTTCTTGGACTATTCTTTCATGGCCTCTCTCTGGACTGCTACTCCACTTTGCAACGAGCAATCATGCAAGTACCTAGTAATGAGCAATGGGGGTCGACCCGTTTCATGATGAGGGGCGTCCAAAGTGACTTTCCCTCTGACTTCAATCAATCTCTCCGCACATGATTATGGGATTTGCGTTATGTATACTCTACCTAGGTTAGGTGCGTGTAGGTTGGGGTTCAGGGCGGGGTTCATTGCGGGGAGGGGGGAGCACCGGAGGGAATGGAGCACCGTCACTGCTGATGTGGTTTGATCTCGAACCAAGCGGGCGGCGGCAGGATTGTTGCCTGTAGCTTTGGTACCTAGGTAGTTAATAAGAACATGAAGATAGATACAAGATGTAAAAGGCACAATCAAAGTGGGAGAGAATAAGCAGGTCTGTATATCAAGGGCGGCTTTCAAGTATAATTTTCCCATGGTCAAGCACGTAATCTCTTCTTACATGGCAATAAATTAAGTATATATTTACCTTCTTCTTTCCTTGCTCTCTCTTTTCTCCTCGCCGGAGAGATAAAGTGGGTGTTATGTGGTCATTATGCTTGTTCAACATTCCAGGTGGAGAAACATGATATTACCACTACATAATACCTAGTATATGCTCCGTATTTTGTACTTGTTCACTGGGGGAGCGAAAAGTGGTACCTTGTGAAGCTATTAGGAAATGCGCTGGTTCATAATGGAAGCCTACGTAGTCACGGTACATTTCAATTTGTCTTGGTGTGCGTATTATGTATGGCTGTCGCCCAATTGCGGATATTATATTCAGGACACTGCCGATACATGTACTCTGTAAGTGTGTTTTCACACAATAACCGGCCGCTAAAGCGATGGCAACGAGAAACACTATCCCCCAGATTTTTGATACACCAAATGAACAGACGAGATATGCATACCTGTGTATTGTGTGTGTAGCATAGCTGGATTACAAACTCGGCGGCTCCCTGGGTGCCTTGGTGGCTAGGCTACTCCAAGACTGGTTTGGGCCTTTTTATTCTTTATTTATTTCATTTTCTCCATCTCCAATATGTAATACAATTAACTCTCGGGCCTCAATCTCTTATCCATGCACTCCTCGGAACAGCCAGACCAACCAGCTGACCACTGTCCCATGTGAACATGGCCAAATTGCAGTTTCCCTTTCCTTCTCGCGAGTCGACCGGACAAACTTTTCCATCATCAAGCCTATATGCTCTCACTAAAGCTTGAATGTGTCTTGGAAGCCAAATAATAACATGAGGACAGCTCGGGCAACGAGTTTCATCAATGTCAATCAGGTCAATAGTCCTAGTAGTACATGATACGCCTATATGGGTAAAGCGCCCTGGACGTGGCGTCTCGGATCACGGAAGATTACAAGCCACTGGTTCAGTTCATATGACTCCCCGGGCTGCACAAATACGCCGCAAAGGCGCGTTGCATAAATTCCCCATCTCTGTTGCCCAATGGGTCCTGGACAAATGTCAGCTGTGTATGCAACTTACATAAGTGCAAACACGGAATTGGCTGTGACCCGAACCACATGTATAATCCAAGATACATAGTACGTGATGACTGCATTGAGAGCTACCCCCGTAAATTAATGACCACTCACTCGTGCACATTTCATTGCAAGCTCTTCGGTGCTTTCCACCGCAAATATAAGGGAAAAAACATGGCGCTCTCGAGTTCGTGTTCGCTTGTTATTTTTTCCTTTTCTATCCTCTCGGCCTTCCCTCATTCAATAATCTCTGTTCTACTGTGGTGTCTCTATCTCTCTCTATTTCAGCGGGCTCAAATGACCATCATCATTCCTTGACATCATCCATATTTCCGGGCTTTCTCGTCTTTTGTACGCGGCACCTTCACAACCAAGACTTCACAAGGTTGAGTTTGACACCAACGGTAGGCCAGAATGGCCAAGGTCGCTGACCAGGTTTTTGGAACCACTGTAGATTCGCCCGAGAAGACGACGACGATGGGTTCAGGAATTCAAGAGGGTGACTTGACTTCCGGACAAGGCAACGAAGCCGATGTCGAGGCCGCCATGACAAAAGAGGAGCCTCGCAGCGATTCTGGACCTCTCGTTGTCGGCTGGGATGGTCCTGACGACCCCCAAAATCCCATGAACTGGCCAGATAGGAAGAAGTGGACAAACATATCAATCTTGTCGATCCTGACTCTTGTCACGTATTTTTTCAGTCTTCCTTTGTTATAAATATCCGTGGAGCTGACAAAATGGCAGTCCCCTTGGATCCTCCATGTTTGCGCCAGGTATCCCAAGTATCATGGTCGAGTTCCGCAGTACATCGAGCATCACGGCAACATTCCTCCTGTCCATATATGTCCTTGGCTTTGCATTTGGTCCACTTCTTGCCGCACCCTTGAGTGAGATCTATGGTCGACGGCTGCTATACGTGGCCGGCAACGTACTCTTTGCCATCTTCACCATGGGGGTCGCGCTCAGCAACGGCCTGGGCATGCTGCTAGCATTTCGTTTTTTGATGGGCCTAGCCGGCTCGGTCCCCCTTACAATAGGAAGCGGAAGCATTGCAGACATGATGCCTGTCGAAATGCGCGGCAGAGCCTTGTCGGCGTGGGCCATGGGTCCTCTGCTGGGTCCCGTAAGCAGATTTCCTGATCCACAACAGCCTCGTCTTTTTGTTTCGCCTTGTCAACTTCACTGTACGATAGCTACGAGGAAAGGTAGCCTGCTGCTAGACCCAGGTACCAGTGGAGATTTAAAAAAAATAAAAATGGCTGACCTTTTGACATTCTAGTGTATTGGCCCAGTTGCTGGGGGTTATCTCATACGAGCCGCTGGATGGCGATGGGTATATTGGCTTCTTCTTATCCTGGTAGGCTAATGATTATGACGAGACAGCAGCCGCTTCTCTCTGGTCCCCATAACTCTCCGCGACACGGAAACTGACCACACGTCAACAGTCGGGCATCTTCGTTCCTATATCCTACTCTTTCCTCGACGAGACATTTCCTCCTATTCTGCTCAAGAGAAAAGCGCGCCAGCTTCGCAAACAGCTGGATAATGGCGAGTCAGGTGGTGTATCGCCGGGCCGGGCCTCGGCCAGTGACCAAATCAAAATGGCGATTATACGCCCAGTCAAGCTCTTGTTGCTTGTGCCAATCGTGACTCTCAACTCGTTATATGTCGCCGTCGCGTACGGAATCCTCTATTTGCTGTTCACGACCTTTTCATTCGTGTACCCAGAGAGATATGGGTTCGACGAAGGCACCAGTGGTTTGGCATTTCTCCCCGCAGGACTCGGCATGATGTTTGGCGTCGTGGGCTTTGGCCCGCTCACGGATGCAATGGTAAAGCGGAACAATGCGGCGGGAATTGTTCACAAGCCAGAGTATCGGCTGGCGCCGGTCCTCACCATCCCGAGCGGCCTCGCATTACCGGTAGGGCTCTTCATATACGGCTGGACGACAGAGAAGGGAGTTCACTGGATTGTCCCCATGCTCGGAGTGGTGGTCTTTTCTGCTGGTCTAATGGGCATCATGGTAAGTCAGAGCAGCACCTCCCATATCCCAGCAACAAGGCAGACACGGGCAGAGTAGACAATCGGGCAGACTAGTCGACTGACGCATGATGACCTTGTTCCTAGATGCCGGTGCAAAATTACCTTTTGGACGCATACCCGAGACAGGCCGCGTCGGTCACTGCAGCCTTGACAGTGATGCGCTCGTTGCTAGGAGCTCTGCTGCCTCTAGGCGGGTTACAGATGTACAACGCTATGGGGCTCGGATGGGGAAACAGCCTACTGGCCTTTATTGCGTTGGGGCTTGTGCCTATTCCCGTCATGTTTTTCGTCTTTGGTGAACGCATTCGCAGCCGGTCCAAACTCGGTCTGTAGAACGAGCAACAAGAGGTTAGAAAGCACAGCTCTCATCGCGAAGTGTGCCACAGCCTGCGTAACAGGACACAAATTCTCCCAGAATATGTATACCTAATATATACTGCCAAGATTAGACACAAGTAGAAGTAAATAGAGTACTTATATATATATAATATGCGAATTAGTAGTAGAATGAAACCTTGAAAAGAAAGAGGGAAGAAATCTGGGTACCAAGTATGTAGTTGATTCCGCTTTTTACAATATATCGTAGTAGTCATGTATAACCCAGCTTGGTTGGTTTATTAGTCGTTGAATATAGTGGGGCAGAGTCATGGCTTCTTGGTCCAACTCTTCTAGGTTGCCTCGGGGCAATCGAAAGTACATGGAAACTCTCCGCAATCAGAGACGTACGTACCCATTTAGCTGTGAGAGACAGCCTAGGGACGATGAAGAACTGACCTTCTTGGTGTGAGTTGGAAGAAGGAAGGAGATAAAAGATGGTGCGCAGCTCTGTTCAGACTCATCTCCTCGTCGCCGCGATTTTGTCATTCCTCTTGCTCTGGCTGCGCGCCATCCTCGGCGACTCCGCTGGCTTTTTCAGCACCCCGGGGCCCGACTCAGCGCCCACTATTGCTACTAACAACCCCACTGCTGCCGCTGCCGCCCAAGACGATCAAGGCCAGGATCAGAAACAGAATCAAGACCTTGGCCATGAGAGCAGCAGCAGCAGCAGCAGCAGCAGCAGCAGTAGCAATAGCATGTCTCCCGCCGCCGTATCCGTTGCTGACATTGCCTCGTCGCTGCTTGCTCAAAGAGACCTTGAGCTCATCTCTTGCAGAACGATCCAATCTCTCTGGGCGGGCTATGGCCACATCTGCGCCGTCCAAGCCGCACCAGGCCGACGAGGAGCAGGAACAGGAGAGAAGAGCACGTCGTTGATCCTAAAGTATATCTCCCCTCCAACCTCGGCCGACATCACCGATGAGGGACACATTCGCAAGGTGCTGTCCTACCAGGTAGAGCAGTACTTTTATACGCATCTGGCACCTTTGCTGCCCGAATCCGTGGCCGTGGCAGAGTGTATCGCCAGCATCAATGACGGCCAGACCACAGCAATTGTGTTGAAGGATCTCAAGTCGTCGTCGTCGACTCCCGCCATCAAGCCACTCACTGCCTTTCCAGTGGCCCTTGAGAAGCGCGGCCATCTCAACTCGGAGCAGGTCTTTGCCGCACTCGACTGGCTGGCCGGCTTTCACGGGTATTCTTGGAACACGGCCGTCCAGATTCGTCAAAGGAATCACGCCCTCCAACCTCCTCTCGAGGAAGCCGCAAAGCAGCAGAGGCGCAGTGTCTCCAACATTGGCAGGGCCAGCTCTTCACCAGAAGAGCGGGCGCAGTTTGACGTCAAGGGGGTTTGGCTAAACGGCGGCTATACCTATCTTGCGACACGGCGCAGAGAATATGAAGCCCTGGCACGCGATGACGACTCTGAATGGTCTGCTGTACTGTGCTCGCCTTCGTCCGGGGGCGGCCCATCGCTGGCTGAACGTGTGGCTACGTACTTGGCACCAACCATGAACTCGTCCAACCCAGGCCCAGCGTTCGAGTACGAGACCCTGATCCACGGCGACGTCAAGTCGGAAAACATGTTTGCTTCTGCCGACGGCCGCAGCGTCGCGTTCGTTGACTTTCAGTATGTCGGCTTCGGCCTTGGTGTCTGCGATCTGGCAAAGCTGTTTACGTGCTCGGTGCCCCTGTCCATGCTTGTCGGAGGTCACGACGCCGATGATGAACAGCTGGAAGGCCAGGAGCTGGAGATGCAGCCGGGGGAGTCACGACTACTTTCATACTACCTACAGGCTCTCAAGGCCGTCAGCGGTAGAGACTACCCTTGGGATTTGTTCGTCAAGCATTGGGAAGTAGCCCTTGTCGACTGGTTACGATTTCAGGCCAGCTGGGGGTTCTGGGGCAATACGGCGTGGCTGGAAGCCAGAGTTAGATATATCATCAACCATACCGACATTTAACATGCTGGCTGTCATAATTCGACAATGGCAGCGGTTCATAGATTTAAAGATAGGCTCGCTACGATAATATGTGAAGCAACTTTCCTACTAGACATGCCTCAACCAAGACTCTTTGTAATTCACAGTGCCCAGCTGGTAAAGTCATACATAGGGGGGGGGGGGGGGGAACCCAATGAATTCATCACGAATACGTATCAGTCCTGACCAGCAAATGGTCCAGCATGAAGATCTCGATGCTCTACGGCGCCATTGAATCCGGTGAGAAGATCCATAGCATTGCGAATGAGCTGCGTGGTGGCCAACACGTTGGGCAAACCGATGACGTCGGCGTTCTTGACCCATCCCAATGCGGTAGGGAGTCTTTCCCGCTCTTTCGGGGATTGTCAATCGAGGTCTGTTGGAGGAGGGAGAATAAAGAGAGAGAGAGAGAGAGAGAGAGGAGGGGAGGGAGAAGAAAAGATAGGAGGATAGGTTTGCGGGTAGTTTCATCGTTGAGCACTTACCATAGAAGTATTCGACTAGGCTTCTGTTGACCTCTCCAGTTCTCATGTTGCCGAAAACAAGAATCGGGGCAGCGACTTCGCCTAGACTAAACTCCTCATTCATTGGGCTAAAGCTGTAGTCCGGGTTAAAGGCTCGGGATTGGATCTGGCGAAAGATCTTGCTGTTTGCCAGCATTTGCGGCGTCAGGACCTCGGCCGTCCAGTACACCTTGGTGCTGTCAAAGATGGTCTGGTTGAAGATGTGATTATTGCCAAAGTATGCGTCCGAGCGGCTGTTCTCCTCTCTCCCCCGGAGCACTCGTTAGCCACAGTACCTCAAAATGCTATGAAGACACTTGTCCCACGTAACTTGAGACAGGTGTGAATATAGGAATCTACCTCAGACTTGCATCGTGTTCCAGGATATTGTGCCGGTTCAACTGGTCCCTATGAGGTGCATACTGTCAGTCGCCCAGTTGGCCAATGCTGGATGTCCTGATCGAAACAGACGATCCTCTCACAGTGTAAAGAATGTGGCGTTGGGGTCGGGGTTGGCGACAATGGCCTGATCGAACATCAGACTTGAAAGCTTAGGATCGAAATTCAGTGCCATGGACAGAGCAGCGATCATGTTGTCCAAGGTGATGTTTGTACCATCGTGCTGCAGAAAACCGTGATTTGCCAATGTATTCAGCATCGGGCAAGGGCCTCGCACTGTGGCACGTTCATTAGCCATCTAACCAACCAACCAGCTCACACCCAGATCGAGCAAACACCGCCGAGCCTCACTCACGATCATTTGGTCCAGGTGGCAGCCAAGAAATGTCGGGTTGGCCGAGGATAGAGGACAAAGACCCATAAGTCATTGTGGTCAAATGTGAGAGCAGTCTCATCTTGGATGAACCGAATTACCGTTTATAGGAGATGGAGGAGTGAGGAGTGTGCCTATGCGCAAGATGAGGACGAGAAATGAGAGGACTCTTGCTAGCAGTGAAGCTATTGCGATGGTCTTTTCCCCTTATTCATTCGAGCAGGTGACAACAGAACACAGTCTGTGTTCTGACCGAGCTGGGTTATCTCACAACTCAGATTGTCTCCATGCAGTAAGGGAGAACCTCTGAAGACTTCTAAAGATTGGAGTGACAAATATATCCCATAAAGCTATTTTGACCTATTCCTCAACACGTAGAGCATGGAACATGGCTCATGTATGGCTCGGGAATTTCGGGTGGTTCCGAATTTTACGAATCCACTGGCTCAGCCTACTGTTTCCACCATTTCTTTTCCTTTCGCAAGAGTTAGTAGTGTTAGTCAATATACTGTACTATCGGCCAGACTGAATTTGATGCGTGGCCGCTGGCCAGCAGCCCCTTGGCGGCCGGTCTGTGATTGAGTGTTTCGGGTATATCGGATAATTCGCATTTCTCGCATTCTTCGCGTTTGGTGGTCCACACTAACTTGGTCCCCATCTGTTGGTCTGCTACATGTGGCAGCCATTGCAGCGCCGTTAAACATGGCCCATATTGTACATGTCGCTGGTGGATGCTTTGGTGCCGCACACGAGTAGTTGCACACGGGTAGTGAGAGTGGTCGGTCAAACTTTGACGATCGACTCAGGGGAGGGGGGCGCAGCTTTCCACTCGTCGTAGTAGCATGATGTCTAGAATATCTCGGCATTGTGCCGGGTGAGCTTTTCTGAATACGCAGTATGCACGCCATGTTATTGGATCGGCTTTGCTGTAACAGGGAGACTTGGCCAAAGATAAAGACGCGCATGTTTTCCCACACCCTTTCCATCATTCTGCCATTGTGCCTTGTCCATGTAAGCATATTTCTGAACGTCCCATGTGGCTATCAAGGTAGAAAACGACAAAATTCATCACAAGTCAAGACTACCGTGAATAACACACTACATCAATGGGCAACGATTCCATGGCCGGGCCATCCTCCGATTCGGGCTCCATCTATGATGATGCTCCTCCGCCATATGAAGAGGTCATCAACACGAAATTCCTGGCAGGAACTGCCCACTTGACAGGTACATACATATTTACATGTTTCCATGTTTTTTCCCCTCCTGTTCGTGCTCCCGGGCATGTTTGAGTTAACCGGCAAACAGACACGGGAAGAGTCGATGTTGATCCAGAGTCCAGAGTCTTTAGAACTCTCTCCAGATTTGTCCCTGACTGGAAAGGACCCGGCGAAGAGCAGGTTAAGGACTCTTGTCCCAAATATGATGGGCCGGGCTGGAAATACGAGGCTGGCCGCCGATCTGTCCCGACAGTACGTCTGAACATCGTGATACAGGTTGTGGGCAGCCGCGGAGATGTGCAACCCTTTATTGCCCTGGGCAACCAACTCCAGAGGGACGGGCACCGCGTACGCCTAGCCACCCACAACACGTTTGAGCAGTTTGTCATCGACTCCGGGCTCGAGTTTTATCCCATTGGAGGGGACCCAGCAGAGCTGATGGCGTACATGGTCAAGAATCCGGGTCTGATCCCGAGCTTGGGCAGTCTTCGGGCGGGTGACATTCAGAAGAAAAGGGCCATGGTGGCGGAGATGCTCGACGGATGTTGGTGGTCATGCATTGAGCCAGATCCCAAGTCGGGCGTCCCGTTCGTGGCCAATGCCATTATTGCCAACCCCCCGAGCTTTGCCCACATCCACTGCGCTCAAGCGCTCGGCATTCCCCTGCACTTGATGTTCACCATGCCGTGGACTAGCACGAGAATGTTTTCCCATCCCTTGGCCAATATGAAGAAGACGAGCAAGGACCAAGGCACCGCGAATTACGTATCCTTTGCCGTAGTGGAGTGGATGACCTGGCAGGGGTATGTATAACGTCTTTATACATGTTCACATGGGCGAGAGTGGTGGTGGTGCTAACCATACTATATATATAGACTTGGCGATATCATCAACGAGTGGAGAAAAGCCCGAGATCTGGAACCAGTTCCAATGACCGAGGGGCCGAACCTGGCAGAAACATTGCAGATACCTTTTACCTATTGTTGGTCGCCCTCGCTGATACCCAAACCATTGGATTGGCCTGCACATATAGGTGAGATTATTTCCCCTCCCCCGTCCCATGATGACGATGGTTGGGAATTCTTTTCACAGGTTCAGAACTCGTACTGACTGCTGGTAACAGACGTATGTGGCTTCTTCTTCCGAGATGCGCCTCGGTACAACCCACCCCGTGAACTGGATCACTTCTTGCGCCAGGGACCTCCGCCCATCTATATCGGCTTCGGTAGTATCGTCATAGACAAGCCCGAGGAGATGACGCAGCTCCTCCTTGAAGCTGTCGGCGCGGCAGGCGTGCGAGCACTCATTTCCAGGGGCTGGAGCAAGCTCGGCGGCGGATCCGAATCGACCGACCAGGTCATGTACTTGGATGACTGTCCCCATGAATGGCTGTTCCAGAACGTCTCGGCTGTCGTTCATCATGGTGGTGCTGGCACTACAGCTTGTGGTCTTCGTTATGGCAGACCTACCCTGGTGGTGCCGTTTTTTGGGGAGTAAGGATTTTCCTCCTCCTCTGGCCTCTGTTCCCTCCTTCTGTTTCTCCCCACCCTCTGTTTTTACATTGCTTCAATGGCCTGTCACTGACTCTTGCCCTTCTAGCCAACCGTTCTGGGGTGAGATGATAGAAGCCGCCGGTGCTGGGCCAAAGCCAATACCGTATGCGGCACTCACCAGTTCCAACCTTGCAGAAGCCATTCGATCCTGTTTGCAACCCGAAGTCCAGACTGCTGCCCAGTCCATATCGGCCAGCATGAGCAGTGAAGAGGGCGTTGGAACTGCAGTCAAGTCTTTCTACGCCAACCTACCAGTCTCTGCCATGCCCTGTGACTTGCTGCAAGATCACCCAGCCGTGTGGGAATACCGACGGAAGGGCAAGACTCTCAAGCTATCTGGAGTGGCGGCTGAGATCCTCATCAACCACCTCAAGGTGGATAGTAACAAATTGGAGCCGTTCGTTCCCCTGCATATCCCACCCCCAGGCTCGTCCATCGTCACTAACTGACCGATCGTCCCAACCAGGTACGAGCCAAAGGGGTTCGTCATCGAGAACCGGCGTTGGGATCCCATAACCGGAACAACATCTGCGGTCATCTCCACGTTCTCCGGTATGGCTCAGTCGACGGCTGACATATTCGTAAAACCTGCTCAGATCCGCCGTGTTAAAAGCAGCACACATATCCGAGCCCCCGCTGCACAAAGCAGCTCGGGCACTGTTGACCCCAAGTACGCGGGATCCCTCCATTCAAGTGCGCGGGGCCCGGGCGACTTTCCCGGCGAAGCAGCATCACCGATGGACAGTCGTCATGCGAGAGACCAACACCATGGCAATAACAAGCCAAACGTGGCTGCATCCATGGCTCTCGCATCTGCCTCTGGCGTTGGTGGCTTTTTCAAACATTATGCCAAGGGATTTCTCATCGACATGCCAGTGGCCTTTGCCGAGGGATCGCGAGCCGTGCCAAGGCTGTATGGTGAAGACGTGACTGACTATGGCACTGTGAAAGACTGGAAATCTGGCTTCTCCAAGTCTGGCAAGAATCTGACTCTTGGTCTGGGAGAGGGTCTGGCCGACCTGGTAGTCCAACCCTACAAGGGCGCCAAGGAAAAGGGCATCGTAGGAGGCATTGCCGGCGTAGGCAAGGGTCTGCTGGGCTTTTCATTCAAGACATCGTCCGGTACGTGCAACATGCTCCCCCCCGCCTTGCACTCGTTCTTGACCCGACATGATTCTAATTGATTTATACAGCTGCCATGGGAATTGTGGCATACCCAAGTCTTGGCATATATAAAAGCATCCGCTCAACATTCAAGGACAAGACTAGGTTAACCATTGCTCAAGCTCGGCACCAAGAGGCAGTCTACTGTTTGCAAAGCATAAATAATGAGAGTTTGAATATTAATTTAATATTGAATGAATTTTCTAATATTATATAAAGATATTTAAGATAATATAATAAATTTAAATTATAAATTTTATATATTAATAAGGTTAGTGTTAAGCACCGTTAAAGTTATAATAATTAAATAATAAAAGCATATATTATTATTTATCGAGCTTAAATCCTTTTATTTATTTGCGTAATTAATAATTATTATCTTTCTTTATTAAGCACCGTTATAATTATAATAATGTTACGATAATCGGATTAATAGGTAATTAAATACGATATAATATTATATAAATAAAGGTTAAGGTTGCAGTTAAGTTAATTTAAAACTTAATTAAGTTTAATTATTAACTAAATTAATTAAGTTATTAAAACCACTAATTTAAACTTAATTAATTTAGTTAGCAGGCTGAGTAAAACTCAATGATTTAATTAATAAGTAAATTTAAATTAAATTAATTAAATTAAATTATTAACTTAATTAATTTAATAACTCAAAGAATTATTAATTTTAATTAATTATTAATTAATTAAAATAATATAAAAACGTAATTAAATAAAGGGAAAATTAATAAATAAAACGCTATGCTTTTTTTTATTTATAACGATAATGCCCTCCCGGACCACGTTGCCGGCTATTATTATTATATAACCGGTCCATACGTACGTAACTTAATTAGTTAGCTTTTAATTTTAATATTAACCCCCCGTATATTGCCGCACTTTATTTATATAATTATTTTATCGCTAATATATTATTATTTATTGCACGGATGTTAATATAGCATCGTATAATATATAAAATTAGCTTTATAACGCATATTATATCGTTATAATAGCTATAAAACCCCTCGAGATATCGTTAAATAACGATATATGGGAAATTAGTGGAACTTACCCTATACTAACCTATAATTAGTATAGCACCACTTACAGCCATTATTCACAATACTGTATAATTAGTAAGTTATTATAGTTAACTATTGTGGCCATTATGGCCATAACGCACAACCGCTAAAAACACACCGATTATCGAAGTATCCAGCGATATATCGTCCAATTCGGACGAATTAATTCCGGCAACCCTGCCGGAGCCTAAATTTAAATTTAAGCTCGAGATATTTAAATTTAAAAGCCGTAAAAGCTTAATAAAAAGAAAATTTGCGGATATTTTTATTTAGCGGCTATTTAAACGCTTTTATAAAATACGCTAATTTTAAAAGATATAATATACCGATAAAAACGGGAATAATATTATAAAATAATAGATTAATAATAACGAAATATTAAAAATTAAATAATAAAAATTATATTAATATATTAATATATTATAATAAATTAAGAAAATAAATTAAAAAAAAATATTAGGCGTAGCTTAATATAATAATTAAGCAAATAATTAAGCGCGTAACACTTAGCATTATTATATAATCAGGGTTGCAATTATTGAGTTGAGTTTTGAGTTTGAGTTTAAGTTAACTCAATTGAGTTGAGTTTTACTCACGGTGCTAACTAAATCATTGAGTTTAAGTTATTACTTTTAATAACTCATTGAGTTTTACTCAGCCTACTAACTAAATCAATTGAGTTTTGAGTTAAACTAAATCAATTGAGTTTGAGTTAATAACTCAATAACTCAATAACTTAAAGCTGTTTTTATTTAATAAAAAATAAATAAAATAAATAAAAGAAAAATAAAACCGTAGATTTATGAGCTTATTATTTATTTAATTTATTAAATAAAAAACTATTTTATAAGTATTTTATTTAATAAAATAAATTATTTGAGTTATTAACTCAAACTCAAATGAGTTAACTCAATTGAGTTTTACTTAGCCTGCTAACTAAATCAATTGAGTTTGAGTTAGCATTTTAATAACTCAATTGATTTAGTTAATAACTAAACTCAATTAAGTTTTGAGTTAACTCAATTGAGTTAACTGCCAGTTAACTCAATTGCAACCCTGTATATAATAAATTAGCTTACGGCTAATCCGTAAATAGGAAATATATATTTTTATTATTTTTTTTATAATTTAATAATACTTAATAAGTAAATAAAATTACGACGTTTCGTTAATTACGAATTATTAATTAAAACTACTAGTTTTTTTACCAACCTTAATTAAAATAAATCTTTTATGGATTCGGAATTTAATAATTTAAAAAAGAGGTTATTATCGATTATAAAATAAAGAATTTTATTATATAATTCGGTTTCGTTAAATTCGGTATTTATATTTATACGGGGTCGTTTACGTGTTATTGAATTTTCGAAAATCGTTCGATTAATACTAAAATTAACTTTAGATTTTTTAAAATATATTAATAAAATAAATAAATAAATAATAATAATAATAAATAATAAAATTATTAATTTACGTTTTTTTCGTGTTTTCTTATTATTTCGTTATATGCGATTTCGGGGTGTATTAAATATTATTAAATTATAAAGAAAATATAATAAAAATATATATTTTCTATTTACGGATTAGCCGTAAGCTAATTTATTATATAATAACGCTAAGCGTTACGCGTTTAATTATTTGCTTAATTATTATATTAAGCTACGCTTAATACCTTTTTTCCTTTTTTCCTTTTTAATTTATTTTCCTAATTTATTATAATATATTAATATATTAATATAATTTTTATTATTTAATCCCTAATATTTTATTATTATTAATTTATTATTTTATAATGCTATTTCCGTTTTTATTAATATATTATATCCTTTAAAATTAGCGTATTTTGCAAAAGCGTTTAAATAATCGCTAAATAAAAATATTTATAAACTTTTGTTTTATTAAATTTTTATAGCTTTTAAATTTAAATATTTCGAGTTTAAATTTAAATTTAAGCTTTAATAAAGTTATCGGGATTAATTCGTCCGAATTAAATAATATATCGCTAAATATTTCGATAATTAATATATTTTTAGCGGTTATCAAGGTTGGCATTTAGTTAACTACTAGTTAATTACGCGTAGTTAACTACGATCGTAATTAGTTAGTGGCCTGAGTAAAACTACCGTAGTTAGTTAGGGGCTTGAGTAAAACTACGGTAGTTAGTTAGGACCTTGAGTAAAACTAAACTACCGTAGTTTAGTTAATAACTACGCTAACTAATTAACTACGGTTTAAATTAATTAATAAATAAAAGAATTTATTATATAAAATATGAAATTATATATAAATAAATTAATAAATAAGAATTAAAACGCCGTTATTCTTTTATTTTTATCCTTTTATTTCGATTTTTTATAATTCTTTTTATTTTTATTATTTTAATAATAAAAATGAATTAAAAAATCATTAATTTTTAAAAAATAAAAATAAATAATTATAATAACCATAAAAACTTAGTTATCACGGCATTTTATTTATTTTTAATTCTTTTAATTTATTACGTTTTAAGCGTTTAAAAATAAGAATAAAGCTTTAATAATTTAAATAAAATCGTAGTTACGTAGTTAACTACTAACTAACTCTAACTAACTACTAATTACGCGTAATTAGTTAATAGCCTGAGTAAAACTACGGTAGTTAGTTAGCTGCCTGAGTAAAACTACCGTAGTTTAGTTAGTAAAATGAGTAAAACTACGTAGTTTCGTTAACTACGAACTACTAACTAAAACTACTAGTTATCTTGCCAACCTTGGCGGTTATATATTTAGCGAATTTAGCTTTAAAATTTATAAGCTATTGCTTAATAACCGGTATAGCTAAGGCTAAAGGTAAAAAGCGCGGTTTTTTTAAAGGAATCGTTATTTTTAATAAATCGTAATATATTAACCCGTTTAAGTATTAAAATACGCTTAGCTATAGCTATTTTAACGGCTTTATCGATTATTTTTTAAACGTAATTATTAGCGGTTGCGGCTCATTCCTTCGAATAATCGTTATTACGCAAATATTCGTTAATTTTATCTTAAATTAAGGTATTAATCGTATTTCGCACGTTTTTATTATTAATAATTATTATTTTAATTTAATTAATAATTATATTTTTAGCGATTTTATTATTTTATAATTTATTAATTTTAGCGTTTATAATTTTTTAATATTTAGTTAAAAAAATAAAGCCGCCGGCTAATTCGGGTATAAAATAATTTAAAGCGCTTTTAATATAAATTATTATTATTTTTTTTATATTATAGGCCTTTTTACCGATAAAAAAGTTAATACGATATAAGCGCTTAAAGCTAAAAGGCTTATTTAATGCTAAAAAATCGATATATAAAATTATATCGGTTAATAAATTGCTTAGCCGGGAGGATTTTTCGTTATCGGGTAAATTATCCGGTCCTAATTAATTAATAACGTAAATCGTAATTATTAAATCGTCGGCGAGCTAGCCGTTTTAATCGTAAAAATCCGCGGCTAAGGTATTAGCTATTAAATTTATTTCGTTTATATTATTTGCGTTATCGTCCGACGCGTTGGCGTCGTTATTCAAATTAATAAAGCTATCGGGCTTAACGTATATATTTAAATTAAGCGGAAAATAATAGCGGTTATAATTATATTTTTTTTAATATTTATTTTAGGCTTAGCGTTAAAAACGTAAGCTTTTTAATAATTTATTTAAAATTCGGGAATAATAGCTTTATTAAGGTTAACCGTAATTTAAATTAATTTATTATATTATAGCTAATAAATTATTTTTTAAAATATAAAGCCAAATCCCTTTTTTACGCTATTATAAATATATATAATTTTAAATTATTTGGGTAATAGGATACCAATATTTATTAACGCTATTTTAGCAAAATTTTAACTAAATTCGTTTTTTTAGCGGTAATTTTAATAAGCTATTTAAAAATATTTCGATATAACCCTAAATTATT